CAAAAATGTCCATTTTATTGTCCTTGAATGGAATCATAAATTGTTGACCATGGGTATTTTGGTCTAAAATATACCAAAATGGCCATTTTTGCAAGGATTTTTGAAAATTGCCATTTTTGCAAGTGGCTAGAAGAAAGTAGACATTTCTTGAAATTTCCACAAATTTCTAAGTCCATTAATTTGATAAGATATACACTGTGCTTGGTAGCCATTTTCTTGACATTCTTAAAATTTTCTTGACTGTTGGAACTGCAACCGTTGTTTTTACTCAACATCGATCAAATTCTCTAAAATGTGAACGTCTTGCTCATGGTCCAAGATTTCATATAGAATACATTTATTGCATTTGCAACCTAAAAGAGTACACCAAGGGAGTCATCAAAATATAATACTCTTAACATTTCGAGTAATATTATTCATTTTCAGTGGAGTTACAAGTACAATTTAGTTGATTCTAAATGATAGGTTAAATGAAATATGAATTAAATAACTTATTTAATTTCACCACATCATTTAATGCCATATAAACTGTGTTTGCTCCAATGAGGATGAATAACATTACTCTAACATTTCACATGAAATTGAGGTTGGGTCTTTCTTTAGTCACTCTTTTTTTTAGTCTTCGAGGTGGGGTCTTTCAAACGTACATTACATCCATGCTTATTCTGATTTTATTTTTGTATAATAATGCTCATTGGACAAGGATAATGACACGGATGGAGGTGCTAGAGTGGTGTGACACAGTGATTGAGTGTTTTTTTTTCAAACTGTCCAATCATGTATTGACACATGTTCCCTCTATTTGTCAATGTAACATAACTCTTTTTTTGTACTGATTATATGTGGAAGAAAGGGACTAAAATTTCTAAGACCACTAATTTGATAAGATAAAAAATGTGACCGTCTTGCTCATGGTCCAATATTTCAAATAGAATATATACTATGACAGCAACATAGTATTGGTACAAGGTTATTTATTGCATTTGAAACCTAAAAGAGTACACCAAGGGAGTCATCAAAATATAATACTCGAGGTTGGATCTTTCTCTAGTCACTTTTTTTTTTAGTCTCCGAGGTGGGGTCTTTCAATCGTACATGACATCCATGCTTATTCTGATTTTTTTATAGAATAATGCTCATTGGACAAGGACAATGACGGAATGAAGGTGACATGGTGGTGTGGCAAACAGTGATTGGGTGTTGTGTTTTTTTTTGCAAACTGTCCAATCATATATTGACACATGTCCCCTCAATTTGTCACGGTAGCATAACTCTTTTTTTTTTTTGTATTGATTATATGTGGAAGAAAGGGACTAAATATTTAAAAATGAAATAAGTTATTAAAAATATGAAGCTGAAAGCGTTCAAAGGCTATAAGATTATTCAAAGATCAATTATTTCGATAAAACACACTAGACCAATTGGTCAAAATTAGTGTTCTAAAAAGTTCGTCTAGACAACACCTAGGAACCACTAAGCTTGAAGCTCAGGCAAAATGCCTCACTTCGTGCTTAGGCGCTTTTTTTTTTTCAATACCTAAGCGGTTGAATTTTTTCCTTTCTCAGATGTTCTCTTTCGTCGTCTCTAGACGTGTTTTATTAATTTTTAATTTTTTTCATTTTTCCAAAAGTCTTTTATTTGGCTTTAATTTATTAAATTTTTTATTTGACTTTAATTTCAAGTTTTTTAAAGACTTATCTATACAAAAGTTAAAAATAACTTTATCCGGTAAAGAGTTAAATAAGATTTAAGTTACGGTACTATCTATATTATGTAATTATAATATTGAGACTCATTATTTTGTTGAAAATTTTCAAAACATGTTCGAAGTGCCTATAAATTTATTGAATATGACTTGTCAAGTTGAAATTATAAAAAATAGTCATTCATTGGCTCTATCTTTAGCAAAGTTGTTGAAACTTTTTTTGGCGCACAAGCTTGTTATTGTATTCGAAAACTTAAAAATTGTATAATTGATTACTTGTAGGAATTATTAAGTAAATATAGTATTTTATAAGTTTAGATGTTTGATATATATTATTTTAATTATTAAATAATTTTTAAAACGATTAAAAATTTGAAACAATATTAAAAATAAGAAAACGCTATAGCCTCACATAAGCTCGCTTAAACTCTTTCGAACACTAATCAAAATAGAAAAAGAAACGAGCTAAATGAATAAGACAAAAAGCTTTCTAAAATTCGAAGATAACTTCATTTGCCCTTAATATTCATAAAAAAAATTAGTGGAGACAGAATCGCATTTCAAAATATTTGAAACCTATTATTGCAAGAAATGTTAATTAGCAATAATTTTTCTTTTATGTATCCTGTCAATTCTTAAATTTATTCACATTTAATCAAGATGCTTAGCTTCTCAATCAATTGAACATCTTTTCTGTTTACATATCTTCTTATTTTCAGAATTATGCTCAAATCTATCATCAAGGTGTCTATGCTAAGCATCAGATGCAGCTTCTTGAAAGAAGCCTCCAATTTTCAATTATTCCATTTCTTTGAACGACATTAGTTTAATACAACTTGTAGTATTCTTATTCCTTCCAAAACTTGTTAGACTATAACTATAAATACAAGTGAAAATTGCAGCTTCTTACAAGTAAAAGGGAATTTTAAAGATGGCATCACTCAAAGCTGAGAAACCTGCTGGATCTCAATCACAGGGACCGGCCAAGAAAGAGCCGGCCAAGGCTCCCGTCTCCAAACCGGGCTCTACAAAGGGCGAGCACAAGCCTCGGGAGCCCAAGAAGAAGGTACTTTGTCGTTAAGAGTCAATGACATGAATTCCTTTCTTATATTTCGTTTAGGGACATGCTTCATGTACATAATTTTTGATAGATGGGGCACCAAGAATTATTCTTTCGTTTAACACGTACAGAACTATTTGACTGTAATTCTGATTGTGTTCTAGGGATCAGGTGGCAAGTCAGCTGGGAAAAAATAAGACTAGGGAAGAACACTGGAGCAATTTATGCGTGCAACTTCGTTAAGCAGCCAAATTATGGCTTATCTTAATTTTATACTTGTTATGAAAGCAGTGTCGTGTTTTATAACTATGTAAACTGTGTCCTAAGTCTTGGCTTTGCCAAATAAAATGCTGATACGATATATTTAAATGTATTAGTCAACACCCTTTTGATCGTCATATTATCTACGTAATCGACATATAGTTCTTAAAGTTTACAAGATTTCATGAAAGAAATCATCGATGATTCATGTTTGAGCGTACAATAAGAACTTATCACAAAGATATGAAACAACACTAATTAGAATTTGGTTTCTTTTTCTTAATCATAAATCATGTTTCTATGATACCAAATACAAAGGGAGATGATAATATATTACCACCTCAAAACGCAATTCATATACTACAATGCCAAATTCAAATCTTAAAAAGGAAAAACAACATATTATGTTCCCAATTATATCCAAAAATACTTTTTTAAAAATGTAAGTGACTCTAAATTCTTTCTAACAAGAATAAATATTAGATAGTCATCAGAAGGGGCTGACAGTGCGTGCCATTTTCAACATGAATTCAGGCACGAGGCGTTTTCTAGGAGGCGCCGAGGAGTCTTTCGAGAGAGCTTCTGCATCTCCAGCATGAACCATGGCCACCAAATCTTCAAACATTTCATCTCTGCCACCCCTCATTGGATCCTAAATATTATGCAAATTAATCATTAAACAAGAACAAGTATTGCCCCCCTCAGATATCGACTGGGTTTATTTGTCTATCAAATATCTGACACCCAAGTTTCATAAATAGGACGTCGATATTTACTTGCTCTAATACCATGTTGAACGGCTTCTTTTGAAAGCTTAAGTTGTTAGATCACATACAAATTTCTTTATTTACACTTAAATCAGACCTTAAAGAAGCCACTGCAATATGATGTTCTAACTTCTAATAATTGATTAGGAGTCTCCACATGACATGGGACATAGGAAATAGATTGATTCTCAAATTAAATCTAAAGCACTAATAATTGGTGAAAGCGTGTGACAAGATGAAAATAAAAAGTATCTCGGATTGATCCTATAATTCGTGTTTCCTATAAGCAAAACAAGAAAGAAAGAAAGGGAAGAACAAAAGCATATGGAACAATCAGCTACCTGAAGGAACACATCTGTGTGGGTTTTTCCTTCATATAAAATTGATTCAGCTTGAACTCCCACTCTTCGAAGAGTCTCAGCAAAACTTTTACTGGAAGAAAAATGTGTTAGAAGTACATTTTTAGAGCTCTATGTGTTGAAACACATAGAGCTCTATTGCAGTCGTTCAAAGCAACTATTAAGTCGAAACATTATTTTCTACAGAAATACAGAGTCAAGTGTCAAGTTTGAGTACTTGATCTACTATGCCACTCCAAAATATCATAGGCAAACAGTTAACGATTCTAAAGAAAGTAAAATCACTTGTTAATTCAACGAGATTCAAAACCTGGCCTCAGAGGGGATGGAATAATCTGCAGCTCCATGGAAAAGTATAATAGGAGGTAGGAGTGAAACTGCATTTCTAATATTTGGGTCTTGTACCATTACTTCAGGAGAATAACGCTGTAAAGATTCTTCCCCCTCCATTATGCTGCACGGGGACTACAAACCATCAGTACTATGATGGACGAGATTGTAGATAAAGGCAGTGAATTATGATGCATAAATATATTGAAACTTGCAAAGTCAGCAAAGTATGTTACCTTAGAAATATTGAGCGGTACAAACCTCGACTATGGAAGTAATCTACCAGGTTGAGCAAATTGTAACTGTACATTTAGGAACGAACAGTTACATTCTGACATAAGACTTGTTGAAGACAAAATTTAAAGAAACAAATGTATCCTCTCTGACAATTTAAGATTTTATTTACAAGCTAGAAAGTAAGACTTTTTAACCAAACTTCCCAAAGTATCGGTTGCATTGACAAGAAAAGGAATGAACAGACACAAAACATCTCCCAAATCTCAGCACATTAGAAGCCTTTTTGCATAAACTTGACTACGAGTGACAGGTCAAAAACCACTAAAATAGTTGAGTCCCGAAACATCTTTAAACAAGTACTATAGCTTTTTCATTGTCATTAGATTTCTTTTTCCTTCACCCAAATGATTCATATCCATTCAGAGCACAAAATGTGAAGAATGAGCACTATATGAAGTTCTCCGTAATTAATTGCGAAGAGAATATTCCATTAGTAAACACGTTGAAGATGATCTCACCCTCCAGATAAACCAAAATAAGCCTTTAACTGAGAGACACTCCAAGATGTTTTTTCTCCACTGGCTTCTTTGATTGCCTGCTCCAAGAGAGTGCAAGCAGCAATATGTGCACCAGCTGACTGTCCCATAAGGTAAATTCTAATAACAGAACGGAACAGGAGATTAGATCCCATAGGTAACATCTTGATAGGAAAAAGTAGGTGAAAGACAATTCCAACCTGTTAGGATCGCCTCCATATTCAGAAATATGATTGCACAAAAATAAGATACCTTGGGAAGCATCTTTGATCATATCACTAATAGTTCCCTGTGGAAAATTTCTTCAAGAAGGTATTAAGAGTCAGAGTACATTATGATGCAGGCCGTAGTGATTATGTTTATAATTAACACATGCCCAAGCACCTTCAGGCAGAAGAACCAGAAGAACTGATTCTACTTAAAGTGGAAGTACATTTGAGATCTCAAGTTCTATAGATCATTTTCCAAAACCATGCCTGCAATCTCCTGGAAGGCTTTATGGTAAGTTAATTAAGCTACTTTTTCGTTAGTATAAATATATAGAAGAAAAATGGAGATTCTTAACCCGTGATGTAGAAAGTGGTACGTGGATGATGGAAAAGAGTTTTAACCTGGTAGTAGCTATTAAGAATAGAGAATTTTTTGATGACATTCATGTACCTGTAATCTATGCAAGCCACAATAATATCTCTTTCGGATAACTGTTGTCCTAAAAGAGAACCCCAAGCTTTATAGCTGTATCAGCAGAATTAGTCAAGGACAAAGAAGAATATGGAAGCAACGCAACCCTGAGCTCAAAAAGATAGTATCCAAAATAATCTCAATAGAACTTACAAATATATGCATAGATAAAAAGTGAGAACTTTATGCTTATGTTTGAGCCCCATTTTTGTATGAAAATAAGTTTCGTAATAGTGAATTTTTGGAGAATGTTTAGTTAAAAACTAGGAAAAATTTTGGGTTTACGTGCAAAATATTTTATTAGAAGAAAGTGTGATTGAAAATGAGTTCAGAAAAAATATGAATTTTTAGATTATGCGGGTCAAACATTGGTCTATCCAGATTCCAACCTCAGACAGTACTTTCTTATAAACTTTATTCACCAAGAAATGGTTTTCAATTTCTTTGAACTTTGATCTGTACTTCTCGCATAATTTTCTATGTTCAATTCTTAAATCAAGTATTTTCTTTAAATTGACAAAAGAAAAATATTGTAATGATTTAGCAAGCCAGACTTAGATGTTATTTTCTCAAATACTGGTTTTTAAAAATCTGCATATTATTCCAAAATTTGTATCTCTGTTCTCACTTCAGTACTTTCTCTACAAATTAACCAAGAAAAACCATTGTCCACTATTTGCAGTTCAGGTAATTTGACTGTGATATTAATTCTCGTAAGTACTTCAAACAGTTCTAGTATATTGAGCTTAAGAAGTGCAGCGGTTTACACACTTTCCTAGATAAAACAAGGATGTCACGTCATACCCGATAATCCAGGCACCACCAGTTACAAATGCAACAACTGGCTTTGGTCCATTGCTATTTTTTGGTAAATAAAGATCAAGCCTGCACCAGAAAAACTTGCATGCATCTCATCAAACACATAACACTAAAAAGAGTAGAACAAATAACCAAAGAATTATAATATAATAAAATATGCCAACTTGTTGTGTATAATTAAAAAAAAAAAACAATATATACAATTTAGTAAAGCGTACCTATTTCTTGGCTGATCACCATAAACTATACCTCGACGTATTTGACTGGAGAAGAAGTAGTGATATCCAACTGCAATACAGTGATCAATTGATTTCATTAGAGGATTGGTAATTCTTGCCAAATTATGAACTTATATTTCTAAAAACAATTGAGAAAGACAATAATGACGATTCAAAGAGCCAGTACACAGAGAGTATACTGCAGAATGCACAATTAAGCAGTCAAAAAGGCAGTCGCCAGTCAAGAAGAATATTTCTGTACATAGGCCAGTAGATTTGCAAACCTTGAAAAAAACCAGGAATAAGAAGGAAAGCATAACATCCAAGAGCGAGAAAACGGGTGATCCATCTGTACCCTACCCTGAATTAAAATAAATGATCAGAAAGCATCCAGAAGTTAATGAATGACCATATTAGTCAGAAATACATGTATTTTAAAAACTAAATGCATTAATCGTCAAATATAAAGGGCATTGTTGGGTATTTTAGTGATGTCCAAATAACCCCTAGGCTATGATGAAAAACAGTAGCCCGTTAACTTCATAGACTATAAGCCCAGGATTGAAGAATATCATTTAATCCATACCACAAAGAGTTGGAACCCAATTGTTGTTGGGTATTTTGAGAAAATCATTTAATCCTTCATTTGTCGATTTCATTTTAGTTTGGTGTTAATTCACTTACTAATTGGTTAATTTCTTCTATTTGTAGGATGGATTATCACTAATAGACATTTAATTGATCACAAAATAAAAGATCTGACAGAAATAAAATATCTTGACAGAAATAAAATATCTTAACAGTAAAAAAATTCATTTTAGTACAATAAGAATTCAAAAGGGGTTGCTTTAGTTCAACCATAACCTAGTTTACCCAAGGACAGATACAATGACTTGTTAGTCTTCCCGTAGAATAGAGAATAAGATTGACAAATTATAAATTTAGGTCTAAAATGTGGGTGTCCTGGTTTCCATTAGCTGAGACCTCCTTGGCATTACCCTCTTGAAAAACTTTGCTTCAGTAATAGCTCATTGGAAATATCTTGTCTTTAGATTCAATATTGCACTCTATCTTAATTCTGAACATTACTTCATCGATACATATTCATAAAATAAACGTTGAAACTGGAATAGATTGTGTGGAAGATATGAGACAAATTTATCCCATTGCAGCACAAACTATTAGACGATATGGCGATTCAATATGCCACTAGTTCGGAACAAAAGGGGGAGATTGATAGTTCACCAAATGAATCTTTTCAAACAAAACACATACTAAGCCCACAAAAACTTAATTGCAAACATGACAAGATAGAACATTTTCACAAATATAAGACAAAGAAAATGAAAATTTTACCCAAGATATCTCAACAACTTGAAGCTAAGCCGAGTGAATACATAAGTATCAGATGCAGCCCTCCCCATATTTTGTCGAAAAGAATCGCGGCAGCCACCAGGGAGGGCGGAAAGGCAGGTGTCACTGGCATTCCTCCGACGCCTCTGCTGATACGAATTTGAATTGGCAGAGGTAGTGGGTGAGATATTGGTGAAACTCAAGGTCCTTGAAATTAAGGATCTGGTCTCCATTTTCCCATCATCCTCAAAAGATGAAGAAATTGACATCCTTGTTGTGGGCAAATCATCTTCAGATCTAAGCAGCATTGTGTCAGCCACCGCTGCTGCCTGCATCATTGAAGATGCTGATGATGATGATGGCCCGGCGTTGGGGTTTGATATAGGAAGTATCTGTGATTTCATATTCGATAATTTATATATATACCCCCCCTCTCTCTGTATATATATAATATACAGGTGGAGTGAGTTGGATTTTGTTGGGTTGTTTATACTGCTGAATTTGTTAAAATTGGGTATTTGGTGTATTGAAGAGGAAAATGGCAGAGGAGATGGAATCAAGATTTTGTAAAGAGAAATTCTGAAGATTTTGAATTAAACCAAATGGGGAAAAAGCACAGGATGATGCCACGTGTTTTGATAAGCTTAGATTGCTTATGGAATTGGTCAGTTTCTTGTTTGTCTGTTTTTAACTCCTTTTTTGTAAGAAATGTTATTCATCGTCAGTAGGATGCATTTCAAATATATGTAGCGTTAATATGACATTAAATAATAGGTGAAATGAAATAAGTCGTTTAATTTTACATATCATTTAATCAATTATTTACATCCACATAGATGGAAATGCATCCACGCTGAGAATGAATAACATTTTTTTTTTGTTTGCTTTCTTGGTTATTGTGCTTGGTGCAGCTTAATATTTTCATTCTCATTATTCTATTCATTTTTAACAACACAATTTTTAATAAAATTATTTTTTCATTACATCAATAACTTTTTTTTCAACCACATATTCCTTATCCATCACATCAACAAAATGCGTTCTTCTACACAAAATGTGAACCAAACAGGGGCTATATTGGCCAATATGAGAGTAGGGTTGGACATATTATCCGGCCAACTGATTCAACTTGAATAGACTCGAATCAATTTTGACCAATTTCGCAAGGAAGTTGGATTGATTGGCTTGGACACAACTTAAAACCCTCAATTTATGGCATGATTTTTTTAATAAAATAGTTGATTTTTTAATGGGTAAAATACCGCTGAAATAGATGGCACGAATCGATTCAGATCGATTTCATGGGTTGGTCCAGGTCAATTTTTGGGTTGGAATTTTACCAACCCGAAAAAGTCTATTCAGAGGTCGGGAAGGGCCTGAACCTAATTGAGACAGACAAACCCCTAATTGAGAGAGTTGTGTGTTCGATAGTAAGAAAATCCAGTATTTGATAATATAACCTCCATTTAATTAAAAAGAAGTAAAAATTTTGTTCTATGTTGTCTAGCCATATTTAGTATGACGTCCTAGTCGTATTCTATAAGTAAATTAACCATGAGTAGATTTTTTAAATTTAACCAAACTTGTGAGGAACCATGCAAGAGAATGAAACTGTTGAGAAGAATAATGTAAGTTTTGTAAGCTTATTTTGTGTCATTTCAACTTGTCCCAATTGGAAAGATTGTGAATCAAACTTGACAATTAGGACATGATAGGTGTATCGTATTAGATCGAATAAAGATTAATTTTTGACACGTGAAGAATTATAGTTGTACAATTTTTGTTGATCACAATTTGTGACGATTTGAATTATGGGATAATTGCAGTCATGATCCCAAATATTTTAAATTTTTGTAAGTTTTACACATTTTTCATTTGTAGTAGTCATTGATCCAAATCTTTCAAAATTGTAGTGGAATGACCTATAAACAATATTTCGTCCAAAAGTCAAACATGTGACCTTAATTTGATCAATTTTTAAAAAGGCAAAATTTATCAAATTAAGGTCGGATGTTTAACTTTTAGTCAACTAATGAATTTTTGTACGACAATCATTCAAATGTCCTTCCTATGCACAGGTTTAAAAGGTTTTGGGACCAACGCTATTACAAATCAAAGAATTAGGTAAAACCTGCAAAAATTTAAAAAATTGGGATCACGATTACAATTATCCCTGAAAATGAATGTTGACGTTTTTACTCAAAAAATAATAATAGTTTATTTGGTATGCTAGATTTTATGAGAATAAACAACGCTATTCGTATTTTTCTATCCCATTTCTTAATTGTTTTATCATATAAATTAACACGCAACTGCCATGCTTATCTCTTCTAATGTTATAACAAAAGCATTATCCATTGATGATTGAACCGTGTTTACAAGCTTAAATATAATGTTTTTCCGCGTTCCTGAAAATCGTGTTTACAAGTTTATCTTATAAGAAAAATCATTGAAAGCAGAAAAACAGAGAGAATAATCGACCTGGGAAAAATTGCTTGACTGTATATTTCATTGTGTTAAAAATACAAACAAGTGGTAAGCTTTTACACAATACCCAGGAAAGAAAAAAGAAAAGAATCTGTAAAAAACTCCATACAAGTTATAAGGACTGCCTCGAGCTGTTCAAAATCGTATAACCATACAAAACAAAAAATTCTTCCAGGAGGTTCCAGTAGGTACATCAGAATATACATTCAGCTGCCCTCCTTAGATCTTGCTGGCATTGCTGTTTGTGAAGCAATTGTTGGCTTTGTCGACCCTGTTGGAATAGATGTCTTCTAGTCCTATCTTGATCAAGTGAGAATAAAAATATGCACATGTCAAAGACTTAGTCAAAATATTTGCAATGTGTGCACCGACATGTTTAGTAGCAATACTCCCTTTTTGAATTTTGTCATGGATCAAATAGCAATTAAGTTCAATGTGCTTGTTTCTTTCACGAAAAACCGCGTTCGCAGCAATGTGCAGGGAAGCCTGATTATCACAAGCTAATGATACTACTTGGGGATGATCAATTCGTAAATCATAAAGCAATACTTAAGCCACCTTAACTCACAACAAACACTTACCTAATGGTGGCAAACGGGTTGAGCGGTTTGTCGACTCGGCAGCTCTGCTCGTGAAAAGTTGGCTCGTGGGTGGCTCGGGCTCGTCATTAAGAGTCGAGCCCGCTCGGCCAGCCCACGGGCCAGTGGTTCGTGGGCTCGTCCAAAAATGAAGGTATATCCTTTTTTTTTTTTTTTTAAGTTAAAGGTTTATCTTTATATAAAAAAAAATTACGAGCTTGTGAGCCGAAGGTCGGCTCAGCCCATGAGTAAAAATTTTTTTTTTTTCGGGCACACGAGTAACGAGCTTAGCAGAAGCACCACTCGTGATCATCACGTGCATACAGGCCGAACCAGCTCGGCTCTACTCCACCCATTGCCCCCTCTACACTTACCATAGCTCTATATTCAGTCTCTCTAAAAGATCTAGAGATAATATTTTGCTTATTGAACTTCTGAGAAATTAGAGAAGACCCCAGAAAAACACAATAACCTGTGATAGATCTTCTAGCATCTGAACACACTCTCCAATTCAAGTTAGAGCTGTAAATTAGATGCAAAAGATTAAAGCAAACCTTGTCGAGGAGCTCACTTAATATATTACAACACCTTATGGGCTGCATTTAAGTGTGGGATTCTAGGAACTTGTATATACTGGCTAAGAAGTTGCACTGAGTAGGCAAAGTCAGGTTTGGTTATTGCTAAATAGAGAAGTTTCCCAATAAGTCTCATATAGATAAAAGGGTAAAGAAGTAATTCACCTTAATTTTTGGAGAGTTTGAAGTGTTGATTGCATCAATTGTTCCAGACTCAGCAAGAATATCTAGAGCATAATTCCGCTGACAAATATGAATCCTTCGTTTTGACAATGCCACTTCTATCCAAGAAAATACTTTAGTACACCCAAGTCTTTGATCTTGAACTTGGCATCAAGAGATGACATGAGAGATTCAATAACCTGCATACTATTTCCACTTATTATAATGTCGTCGACACAAACTAATATGGCTGTGAAAGAATATTTGGTGGACCTTGTAAACAAACTATAATCAGCTTTAGATTGTTGAAAACCTTGCTAGTGATAAATGAGGACAATTTAGAGTACCATTGCCTAAGTGTCTGTTTCAACCCATATAAACTCTCGCGAAGTTTACAAACTTTTGATTCACCATCATTGGAATATCCAGGCGGTAGTTGCACGTACACTTTCTCATCTAGGTTTCTATGTTGGAATTCATTATTTACATCCAACTGTGCAAAACCAACCCTTAATTGCAGCAACAACCAACAAAGTTCTCACAGTAACTAGTTTAGCCACGTGTGAGAAGATTTCAGGGGAGTCTAACCCTTCTTGTTAAGTGTACCCTTTTGCTACAAGTCTAGCCTTGTACCGCTCTACACTTTCATCTGCATTGAACTTAATTTTATAGACTCATTTACAGCCTATAGCAATCTTTCCCAGAGGCAGACCAGTCACAACCTGAGTGTCATTCAGATCTCATTTTACGTTTAGCCGCTCTCTCTCATCCAGATCTCATCCGGTCGACGACGAGCTAACAAGTAGTAGACAACTCGAAGTCGATTTCTTTACTGTGCCTTGTTTTAAAAATGTATTTCGTTTCTTTTAGGGTGGATAACAATAATTGTTTTGGGTGTTAGTTCCTAGTTTATGAAGTTTTATACTATACGTTGTTTGGACTTTTGTTTATACATTACATGGGTGGAATTTATGTTGTGAACTTGGTTTCTCTTTGAAGCCATTTGAGAAAATTTTCCTCCTTTGTTGTTTGTAGGGGTGGACGCAGACATTTTGAGTTAGGGGGGTCAAAATCAAAATTGCAATAAAAATTATGATGAATTTTACATTTGAAAATTTATATATATATAAAAAAATCATACCTTATCTAATTTTACATTAAAATATACATGGAGTATGACTTTTTCGAATGTAAAAATTAAAATTTTTTGATATTGTATCCGATGTAAAATTTTCTAATAAAATGATGTAATTATATCGAGGTATTTTTATCACAAAAATCATAATAATTGAATTTTTTTTAATTAAAAGACGAGTTAAACGCATTTTTTAAGATACATGTTTGATGTATCTCTAACTATTTTCGATATCTGTTTGGACCATTTGATATGCCCATAATGTAGTTCTTGAAATGAGTTTCAAGGTGACATGGACGATTTGTAGATTTTGGATAACATACGTTCGTTGGAGAATTTTTAAAATTAGTATGTTAATAAAATTTTCGAAACACTAATTTAGAACTACCTACTTTGACAAGTAGTAATATTTGCTACAGTTAGCCGTTTCGTGCGTTACTAACGACGTAGAAAACTAGGCCACGAGT